TATAGTAGATCTTTATTGTTTATCTATTTTATATACAGTAGTGTCTATCTGTTAGTCCCAAACTCCTAACGTATCCCTCCCCACCCCTTTTCCCCTCAGTAACCAGTTTGTTTTCTGTGTTCTTGAGTCTGTTTCTGGTTTGTAGATTAAATTTGTATATATATATACAAATTTTTTTTTTTTAGATACGCCTTTTAACTTTTTTAGATGGTTCACTGCCTTGCTGGAGAAGACAGCATTTATGGTGTGTGGTATACAGCAGGCTCTGAATGAAAATGGCCCTAATGGATGAGTGAATGAATGAATCTGAACATTTAGTGGCATCTTTGTACAGTTGTTACTTGAGTTACACTCACCACCTGAGTAGCTTCTAAGGTCTTTTCCTAAAGGACCAAATCCCTTTAACTTTCCTCCCTAGTAACTTCTCTCCTTGAGACAAATAGACCAAAACATACACACTCCACTCAACTGATGGAATTTTCCAAAGGGATAGGAAACTAAGTCTCAAGTGAAGACGTTCAGTGTTTTGATGTTAGGATGGGTCTTTTGGAGATAAATGTTTGAAGCCAGGAAAAACAGCAGCAAGAGGAAATAATGCATGTGTAGCAGCGATGGAAACATAGAGGATCTGCACCATGGGAACTGAGACCACTATTATTTTCAAATTTCCTTCATGTTAGTACAGCTGTGAGGATGCCACGAAGCAGGGTTATGTATTTCCAGGCCCGTCCTGGGCGACCCCATCTATAACCTCCATCCACAGGCTCCACTGCTCCTTCCTCATTGTCAACCCTTAGGTCCTCCGTCAGCACCAGGCATGTGCAAGGGATGCTGAGAACAAATCTGTATTTTCAAAGTTCCCAGACGCTGAACAAACTCTTCCCAGGGCCTTTGGTCTGCCCTCCCTGTCCACAGCCTGCCATGGCCTTTGGGTCTGGAATGACCTCTCCATCCCACCTCAGCCTGGTCCTACCCAGAACGTGCCCTCCTGCCTCCGATGCCTCAAAGCTTCTCAGACTTGAAGGTCACATCCATGCCAGGCTTATAGTTCCAGGATTCTGCAGGTTGGCTGCCGAGTTCCAGCTAAAAGGTGTGGCGAGACAAAGGAGGGCCCGTTGGAGTGGAGCTCACAGCTGTCAGGGCCTCAGATATTGGGGTGGAAATCTAACATCCTGTGGATATTTGTATATTCCCAAGAGTATGAAAACCCTGTGTTGGGCAGCACTTGGGAGGAAATTTCCAGATGTCCACCTCAGAAGAACTCAACCCAATTACCAAGACCCCCGCAGCTACAGGGATCGTGGGTTAATGGTCTATGGCTTAACCACCTAAGAAGGCACTGACACATTTTTCTGTTTCATCCACTAAGCTGGATTTTCTGTTTGGCGTTTCCCTATTGCGTATGATTTCACTGTGTCCGGTAACTTTCAGATCTCACTTAAAAATATATATAGTCCCTTTTTCTTTTCTGGAAAAGCAAGCTTGTCTTTATCCACGTGGCCTTGGCTGCCTGGACTAACAGTGGCCCTGTGAGCTGTGAGCTGAGGGCCAACAGCCGACTCCTTCCTGCAGACACACAGCGGGTTTCCCACCCCAGTCCCAGTCCTGCGGGGCTGCTGGGGCCCCCTGGCCTGCTGCCTCCCAGGGGGCCAGGCCTGTCCTTTCTCTGCCTTTGGGCCTGCCCCTCAGCCAGGAAGACTGGGAGAATTCAAACTCCATATCTAAAGACTTGGCTGCTGGAGTTGGAAATTCAACACAAGGATTTCCTTCTGAGGTTTTGAAGAGGCGTGTCACTCTAAGCTAAACTGAGTGGCCCCAGGGTCGCCTCCCAGCATCTCTGCGTGTGGCTGGTTATAGTCAAAGGGGGAGAGCAGACCACAGCTCACTGTTCCCCTGTGAATGTTTCCAATCCGCTGTCACAGATGGGGTTTTGACGTGACAGTTTCTGAAGGAGCTGGCTGGAGAAATGGAAGCCAGGTGGAAGGTTTGCATCCCATGTGCCTACCCTCTGCTTCCACCGAGCCTGGGCACCGTCTTGGTCTGCTCCAGCTGCCACTGCAAAATACCGTAGACTGGGAGGCTTAAACAATAGGAATTTATTTGTCCCAGCTGCAGAGACCGGAAGTCCAAGATCAAGTTGCCAGCAGGCGTGGTGCCTGGTGAGAGCGCTCTCCTTGGGTTGCGGATGGCCGCCTCCTCACTGTATCCTCCGTAGCAGAGAGAGAGAGGGAGGGAGAGAGCTTGTCTCTTCCTCTTCTTATTAGGACACTAATCCCATCCTGGGGCCTCACCCTCATGACCTCATCTAAACTTGATTATCTCCCAAAGGCCGCACCTTCAGATGCCATCATATTTGGGACTAGGGCTTCAACAGGTAGTTCTTGAGGCAGGGGTGGGGACACAGTTATTCAGTTCATAACAGACCCCGTATTTGTCTTTTCACACACATGTGTCTTCTCCTCCCCCTTCCTGGCTTCTCTCTGCGGGTCCCCAGAAGACCAAGGAGGCCCGCTTTCGGGTGGCCGTGGTAACGGAAGAATGTGTCTTCTTCTCCTGCAGAAACTCCCCCGACGAGTGCAGCCTGGCCAAAGGCGGGAAGATGGTGAGCAGCCCCGACACCGTGGGGATGAGTTACGGCAGCTACATGGAGGAGAAGCACATGCCGCCCCCAAACATGACGACGAACGAGCGCAGGGTCATCGTCCCCGCAGGTCAGAGGCTCGCGGCCGGCTCCGCGGTCCGCAGGCCACGCCTTTCTAGAGCTTCTTTCAACCCTCTCTTCTCGCCCGTGGCGTGGCTCACCCTCAGCCGCCTAGCAAGATGCCTGTCGATGGAACCCATGAGAAGTGGGTCCACCTGTGACGACATGCTCCCTGACCTGTGTGTGTGTGTGTGTGTGTGTGTGTGGCGGGGGGAGAATCCATAAAAAGTGACCTTTCTAAGGAGGACTCGCCCTTTCTCTGAGACGATTTGGCAGAAAACCCTTTTTCTTTTATTTTAATTACGCCAAATAATCCTCTCTTTTATGAAGTGCTGTTTATACCATGAGAAGTGGGTCCGCCTGTGACGACATGCTCCCTGACCTGTGTGTGTGTGTGGCGGGGGGAGAATCCATAAAAAGTGACCTTTCTAAGGAGGTCTCGCCCTTTCTCTGAGACAATTTGGCAGAAAATCCTTTTTCTTTTATTTTAATTACGCCAAATAATCCTCTCTTTTATGAAATGCTGTTTATACCAGAAGGCAGGCTTTTAAAAAGTTGTTTTCTAATCTGGCAAAACAAAAAGTTGGGAACCCTGTAATGTGGTTCCATCTCAAAATCTGAAATTCCAGCTATCACTGGCCTGTGCTAGACTCTGGGAGTCAGAGTAATTCTTTACTGCAGAAGTTATTCTAAACCCAACCCACAACAATAGCTCTGGATTTGAGGCAGATGCCAGGAATTTATGTATTTAGCAAAACTAAAGGTTTTAGGAAGACTGCCATCAAAGTCCTCAGAGGAAATGCGCTGCATACAACGCAGAGCATCCCAGCAACCACAGCACTGGCACCGGCAAGCCCCTGCTCGGTCGGTCCTCACTCTCTAGCAGGTGTCTGGTAAGCGATTTGGAGACATCGAGACCTTGGTGCTGTGAAATTCTAGGAAACCAGAAGTGTCCTCATTCCAGTGACCCTGATATGGAAAATGAACCTCAGAGAGGTCAGCACGCAGTTAATAAGAGGCCGAGTTGGAACTCAGACAGGCTGGCCTGACGCCTTCATTCTCTGCCTTCGGGTGTTGGAATGAATCCCAGCGCCTTCAGGAGCCCGGAGCGCTCCGTCCCATCACTCTCTGAATCCACCTGGTCTCCGTGTGGTTCTGCCTCAGCCCCAAACCCTTGACTCCAGGGAGTTCTGTCCTTCATCAGGGCTCCGTGCAAACATCTCTCCTTTCCTGGCCACCGCCTTCTAGAGCCGCCCCTCCCCCAGTGACTCTCAACCCCCAACCTGCATCATTTTCCTTTATTGCATGTTCCCCTTGGTCACTGTCGTGGATGTTGATGTGAAATTTTGCTTATTATCTTCCTCCCTCCATGGAGTGGAAGCCCCACAAAGTCCTCCCGTCCATGGCCAAGCACAGGGCCTGGCACGTAGTAGCTCAGTGAATATTAACTGAGGGGAGGAGGGGTGAGAGGGTGCCCAGCCGCTGGGCAGTACCGCCCAGGAAGGTGTCTGTGGGCGAAGCTGGCGCAGACTTGATTCTCCCTTGTGCCAGAGCTCACCTCACGTCACCTCCGTGACCCCCTCCACGGTGTGATTCCCGCCCCGCTCCTTATTCTCTGTAGGATCACATCCCGTGGACTTCTCTTTCCACCACCTTCCAAACAGGAGCGTTCAGAGTGCAGAGCACTTGGCATAACGTCTGACTTGGGTTCATGGTGGGTCTCCCTTCAGGGCTGTCACTGTGGTTTGAAGCAGAATGCATGAAGCTGATTGCACGCAGTTAGGTGTAAGAGGGGTCGTCCTTCAGGGCCACCCCTGATCCTAAAGCACTGCTGTAAGACTTCTGTGGGAGACGGTGGGCATGAAGTGTCATGTGTGCCTTATGAGAGGGACAAAGCTGGTTCTGATACTTCCTGGAAGGCAATCGGCATGTATAGAGAAGGCATAAATTTGGTTTGATCATGACAACCGAACTGTGCACCTGAGACCCATCACCTGTTGCTGTGATTTACAACAGGAAGCACTCCCTGTGAATGGGAAAATACACGGAAATGCGAATGACCGAGGTGCCCGTCCTGGATGTGTGGTACCTAAAAGAGGCTTGAGAACAGGGATGTGCCTGGGGAGGGCAGGGGTGCTGCTGCCTCAGACACGGGCTGGATGTGAACAGGGTGAGGCAGAGGCCCAAAGGATGTCCGCCCAAGCCCAGGTTCACCTCGCCCTTTGCCTTCCTCCTTAAGAATGTAATTTCTTCAATTTAGGCAAAAGGAAGTCTTTAGTTCTCTAAGATGAGAAGAGAGTCAACCTGAGGAAAGGCCCGCACTGAAGATTCTCATCTTGGTTGCTCGTGGAATCACATCCTTTTCACTGAGGAGGTCCTGTTTCTGTCTTGCTATCAGTGCGCTTTGATGCCATCAATAGCTTTTCCGGAGGGCCAAGCATGTGGCTTCAGATATTCAAAAATGAAACGTCTGCATTCAAACGTTTCAAAATTCAAAAAAATTCAAAAAAAATTTAAAAACCATTCTGAATTCAAACGAAAATGAATGTTTGACTGCAAACATTCAAAAATGAAATGTTCAGAGAACAGGAGAGATATTTACATGGAAAGAGGCGTAGAACCAGTAGAATCGAGGCAGAGCGCCCAGCGTTTCTGAGCTGGGTCGTAGGTACTCAGAGAACGGCAGTTGGACGGGTGGGAGGAGGATTACGCAGATTGGCTCATATGGAGTTTTTGTGTAAAGGCTGGTTTCATCTCCTGAAGAAAGTCCTCTTTCAGCTGTTCCCTCCTTTGGTTGCTTCACGCCAGCACGGAGGCAGTTATTCAGTTAATGGTGTTTGTAAGAGAGCTAATTGTGGCTGATTGTGCAAGTTGTGAGTCTTTCAGTTATTGGTCAAACCTCACGCATGTGTGCTCATACATGCATACGGATGAACACACACACACACCTGCACTGCACCATCTGAATGATTCCTCGGTGTGAAGACTGCAGGAACTGGGGGCAGCTCTGTTAGCCACTGGATCTCTGCTGGAGCTGTGGCATCCAGGCACCTCGCTCAGGCACATTTTGGGCACAAAGAGGTCTGTGTACATAGTGGGAGTTCTCCAAGTTCCGACTGGTTCATGCAGTTCCTACTAGTTAAACATATCGATTGGCACTCATAAAAGCAAATCAAAATGATAGCGGGAAAAAACATTAATTATTCCTAAGCATTTGCACCTTCAATCAACCTCATACCAACATTCATCTTCTAGACCTAGAAACGGTCCTGGTGCACGCTGAGCAGAAAATCAGTGGGTAGACAGAGAGGAGGGAAAACAAGACCTGGGGGCACCGTCTGCATTCAGATTGGGCTCCTGTGCCTGGATTTCTCACTTCTCCAAGTCCCTGGTTCTGAGACTCACTGCCTTTGATTAACTCAAGAGCTTTAAAGAAACTCATAAAATACCCCTTAATGAATAAATACACGCCTTCCTTTAATAAATTTACCCTGTCTCCTTGTTTCAGAACAAGTGTAAGAAAGCTCACCCAAATGTAAGTAAAGAAGCAGGTAAAACCCATTTTTTAAGTAAATGGATCGGAAACACGGACTAAAGTAAGAACTTAACCGAGGCAGTGAGACCAGGAGCGAGGTTTGTATGTTTATGTACCTGTGCTAATATCTTTTAATGCAAACTTTTAAATCCCACACAATTGCAAAAGGTGGGTGTTCTTTGACCCCGAGGGGTCAGCAGGCCGAGTGAAGGGGATGTCTCAGTCAATACCTGCTTCAGTGTCTCCAGGAGAAAAAGAAAACTAATGTGGGCTGGATGGCCCAGCTGGTAATTCTGAGTCTGGAGAAAAATGCATTCCTTGGTTTGTCATAGGAGGGTGACAGGGAAGGCACGAGGAAAGTGCTCAATCAGTAAGGTCACCAGACACTGTCGGGGGCCCTGGCTTACACCTGTTGTCCTGGCAAGATTGGTGATTGTACCTCTCCTTCTCGAAGTGTACTGGTTAGATAAGACATCACACCTGTGCCTTCTGTCTGTCTGTCTGTCTGTCTGTCTATCTATCTATCTATCAATCATTTGTTCTTTCTCTCTCTGTCTCTGTGTCTTTCTGTCTGTCTGTCTATCTGGTGTGCATATCTATGTATCTAGGTCTACATCTCATGGGGTTAGGCTGTTTCTTAGGCTCATGGTTATAGATCAAAGTATCATTCAGTGCCATCAGTCTTAATTAGAGGGGCCCCAGACGTGGGAGACCTAGTTAAAGGGCTCTTTGTCACCTCAGCTTAATCTGGAGGCTGCCTGGGAAATGTTTCTCCAAGTATGATCAGAACCACCTGCATCAGGATTACCTGGGAGACTTCCAATTTAACCATTTAAATTTCCAAACTTCCTGAATCCGGGTGCAGGGTTGAGGATTCTACATTGTGAACACGTTCCTGGGGGGTTTCCACGCATGCCTGAGGAGCTCTGATCCAGAGGGAAGACACTGAAGGAATTTTACTCTAATAGAGCTTAGTAATTCTAAATAAAGGTATGATATGCCACTTTTGGAAGAGGGAGTTGACAAAATGGAAGAATAGAAAATAAAGAACAATTGCACACTGACATCCCCCTCACCCCACCTCCCCATGCAAAAAATGAAGAATTGCTTACTTGTAGGAAGGAAATTTGGTTCCTAAAGCTGCTTTTGGGAGCTGGCATTGGCTGGCACCATAAATTCTGTAAAGAGCACATGTCAAGGCATTCACAGAAAATCCTGGGCCAGTAACAAAGCACAGCATACAGAGTGCAGGCTGAGAAAGGAGCCCCGCCACTTCATGCACCGTATCGGCGCTGAGCTCCATTCTCACGCCTTGATCAGGCCCAGTTCTCGGCCTGCATCCATTTTACTGTGTTTTGATCAACAGTTGCAACAACTTGGGAACAACATGGAATGTGAACGCTGGGGGTTTCCAACTCTCCTTCACCAAGGCTGAGAACGTAGGCCGATGTTTAGAGACAATGGGTCCCCATCGT